GCTTGTTTAGAAGTTGTTAGTTGTTATTTATTGTGTGTGTGTGTGTGTGTGTGTGCGCGCGCGCGCGCGCCAAATAATGTTCTGGATAATGACCTGATGTGAGAACAAAAGGGGCAAAAATGTTCACAATCTAATTATTTAAATTTGCAACTTTTTTGTGTGTTCATACGGTATCCTCTTCTCGTACTTTTCCTGAAATGAGTTCACAACCCCTGCATTAATAGATTCATTCCTCTGGCTTTTCATGACTGTGGGAACATTACATGAACAAAACTGAAACTTAACAGCTTTAGCATATTTCTGTAATTGCATTTCCTCCATTGCAACTAAAATGACTGCACTGCCATGACTCAGTGAGTATGAAAGCATTCTGTCCTTAATACCCCAACCATTAAACACCAACAAAACTTTTACCATCATCCAAACATTTGAATGAAAAGACTGAAAGGCAGAAAAGTTATCAACTTTACACTGCTTAAAGGTGATAACTTTCCAAGTGTAGTTGTAATTATTACTCTTATTGATTTTACCCTGTTCATACAACAAAACTGGCTAACCTCTGCTTCTGTATCCTTGGTGATGAGAGTCCACTTGCGTGTTGGTACATGATACGCCCAAAGGTCACTCAAGTCCTGGTTCCCATCCCAGCCACCAAACAAATATATCATTTCAGTGTATGGATCCATACACATCTGGTGACCTCCTCTCATTCCTGGTTGTATTTCCGAGTCAGATGGCTGAATAGGACGCCATACTGGTCGGTATTCTTGCTGTCCAATATACTGACTGAAGAGACCAACTGGTAAAAGGAAGTTATTTACATATTCCTTTATGATTGTTATGAAATTTTAGGTTCAATAACAAGTAGTTTCTGAATCAGCTGAATAACTATCACATTCTTACTGAAGTGAGTTAGTGAAAACACCTGTCCCTTGGATTGGTAGTTGGGTGGGTCCCAGAGAAAAATTCCTGCATTACCAGAGGACAAAACCCCGGTAATCCAGATCATAGCCAGTCACTGTACCGACAGAGCTACTCTGTTTCACAAAAAATCCTAGATAATGAAAAAATTGTTTAGCTGTCATCAGCAAGATGAGAAATGATACAGCCCCTGTGGCAATGTTTGTTACAATGATAATGCATGGTTAAAGGTTCCCAAACAGCACAGTCATAAATTCATTGATCATTTAGAAAATACAGGAGGATAACCAAACCACTATCTTTCAAAAGTGAACTAAAAGTGACCTCTTTTTAAAATAATTAATTCCAAAAAGCAGAGTCCTTGTAGCGATCATAATAATGGCTCAGCTACTTGACAAATTCCCACCTTTCATGCAAACTGATGATTCATTGCTGTGTTCACAAGTGCCCAGAACCAGTGCGAAGCCTTCATGGTAGTGTGGAACATGAAGTCTCAGGCCAACATTCCTCTGATAACACAACGCTTCAACTTATGGAGAAACATACTGTGACATGATAGAGTGACTACAGATGGGATCTGGATTGATAACTGGATTTATTGGACTCTTTCGACACATAGTGTAACTGCACCTTACAGTTCCTTTGATGTGCACACGCACATACATACACGCGCACGAGTGCACACACACACATTAGTGTCCACAGTCACGTCTTCACTGCCACTGTTTGGAAGTGGCTTCCAACAACGTATGTTTCCCTTCTTCTGGGTTCCCAAACTATCCCCAGATCCTAACCGCAATAGCTCACCACAACTGAACTCCACCAGTTCTTGAATTTACAGCAACTGCTAACTTGTCCTGGATACAACATCTTGGCATGAATCATACAGAAATATCTCTTCCATTATTGTTATATTCCATTGCTGCTGCTTGCAAAGTCATTCTTAGCAGTGGCTGTTGTAGAGTTGCTGCCTAGCAACAGGTCTACATGCCATGTTTATCATGAGTAGCCTACAGGTGTACCTGAGGCCTGTTCTTGTGATATCTGTGATCAGTCTCCCCTTCCTTCTCATGGTGATTACTCTCCAACTGCTCTTGCTGCTCCCCCCTTAAGGCTTCTCATCCCAAGTGGTTCCTTGATAAGGTGCAAGCTGGTCCAGGTTTACAACCATCATCTTCATTCTAGGAGTTTGCTGGATCCTGTACACATTGTTCATCTGCATGACTACCCTGTATGAATCCTACCATGGGGATTGAAACTTGAGTGACTTTCCTTTCATGAGGGTGGGCTGACAGAGGCACACATCATTGCCCTTGTGGCAGCCTGTGCAGTTGACTAGTCTGTTGTAACAAGTTTTCATTCAGTCACTTGTCAGCTTCAGATTTCTGGTGGGCATAGTTACAGATGTGCAGTTGATGCCCCATTATGTGACATGGTGAATGGTGGGTTGTTCTCTGTTGGGGCTGCTCTGAATAGCAGATCAATGGGCAAGTCGAGTTCTGAATCCAGCAGGAAGATAGTCCCTCAAGGTTCTTATAACTCATAAGCCAGGTGAGTGTGGTCAGTGAGCATGTGGAATTCTGGTCTGTAGAGGTACTTACAGAAATGTTCCAGCATCCTTATGATGGCCAGTATTTCCTACTGTGTGATGCAGTAATTTCTCTTGGCCTTATTCAGAATCTTACTGCAGTAGGCTATTAATTTCTCCTGTCTGTCCTGTACCTGTGACAGCATTCTTCCAATCCCAATGTTACTCACGTCTGTGTCAATGAAAAACCTCTGTCTTGGCTGTGAGCACGCAAAAACATGGGCAGTACAGAGGGTTTCCTTTACTGTTTGGAAGGTGGCCTCCACTTCTGGAGTCCACTGGAAGGCTTGCTTTTCCTTCATGAGTTTATCAGCAGTTTCACAATGTTGGCAAAACCAAAAATAAACTGTCTGTAATATGTGCTTCAGCCCAGGAAGCTTCTAATGTTATGTTTATTCTTTGGGGTCGGCCATTGTGGTAAAGCTTTCAGCTTCTCAGGTTCAGTGATTATCATCTCAGGTGACACAATATACCCAAGGTACTGCACTGCCTTCTGAAAGAGTTGGCACTTCCCCAGATTGGCTTTTAGGCATGCTTCTCTGAACCAATGGAACATTCCCTGCAGGTTGAGCAGGTGCTCTTGGAATGTGCGGCCAATCATGATCACGTCCAGGTACATAAGACATGACTCATAAGTGATGTCTCTTCAGAGAGTCTCCATTATTCACTCAGACATACTTGGCGCGTTGCAGAGACTAAAGGGCATGACCATGAACTGCCATAGCCCTTGACCCATCGAGAACACAGTCCTCTCCTTGTCATCAGGATGCAGATCCACCTGCCAATAAGCACTCTTTAGGTCCAGTGGTGAACCATTTGGCTCCAACAAATGTGTCCAGAGCATTATCATTCCGGGGCAGTGGGAAACAGTCTTTCTTTGTGACACTGTTCAGGTTTCTGTAGTCCATGCAAAAGTGCAGGTCCCCATTCTTCTTCCAGACCAGAGTGACAGGTGATGACCAGGAGCTATCCAACTCTTAAATAACCCCACATCATTGCATATCCTTGAGCATCTCACCCACACCTACATCTTTTGCTAAGGGGTGCCTCATCAATGATTGGTGAACTGGTCTTCTCTTGATGTCTGTCCATCTTGGCTTTTATTTCTGCTTGAGTGAACTCTGTCCTGGCATGATGATATCCATCCAGAATACAAAAGTACCTTGAATGACCTCAACCTTCTTAGTACTAGCCTCCATCTTGTCTTAGTTGGTTCTCATTTCTTCTTGAGAGGAATCCATCTTGCCAACATCAGATCCATCATTTGCTCTATTTCTGTAGTATGGCGATATAACAAGCCAATGTGGCCTTTAATCCAATTCCACTTCTGACACCAGTTGTCACCTCATGGAGTGACTATAGAGGGGTTTTGGATTGCTGAATGGATTTATTTGGACTGTTTGATACAGCATGTGACTACAATTTACACTTCGCTATTACACACACACACTAGTGTCCAGAGTCATGTCTTCAGTGCTACTGCTTAGCAGCAGCTTCCAATGGCACATGTGCCCCTTCCTTTGGGTTCTCAAACTGTCCCCAGGTCCTGACAGCAATAACCCACCATAACTGAACCCCAACAGTCCTCGAACTAACTGAAAGTCAAAATCAAAGTTATGTTATAACCAACAGTCAGTCAGCCAGTCTGTCTAGGTGTCAGGAAACCTTCTGAGGTCCAAGACCAGATTTTTATTACTGTTAGACAGTCAGGGGTTTGTTGATGTGGGGCACCCTCTTGATGACAGAACGCATCTGTCATTTACAATTGCTGCTGTCCCCCGCTAGCAGTCATTCTTGGGTTCAAGCCCACAGGACTCATGACCATATTTTACTGCCTCAGATTCGAGACTCCCCCAACCTAGAAGGCCAGGTCCCCATATTTATTACCCCAGGAACAGGGTGTCCCAGTTATAACCCTAGGCACTTGGTTCCCTTTTCATCACCTCATGCTACTCACAGGGCTACAGCAGAGGTATTTGAACCCACCCCCATGAAGGGACTATTTTTCTTTTTTAATTTTCTTAGTGGGGGTGGAGTCCAACTGGGTCCGGTTGGCACGGCGGCCACTGATTGGCCTATTGTACCTACCCCAGGTGATTATGATGATGGAGAATTTGGTGGAATGAAGATTGGTAGGGGAAACTGAAGTACTCAGAGAAAACCCGCCCCAGCACCGCTTTGTCCACCACAAATCCCACTTGACCAGACCACGGGATCGAACCTGGACCACCACGGTGGGAAGCCAGCAACTAACCACTTGAGCTATGGCGCAACCATGCAGGGAGTAACTACAGCTGCTACCTTGTCTGGATTATAACATCTTGGCATGGGCCACAGAGAAAACATCTGTTTCAATATTTGTGTATTCTCCTGTTGCAGTGAAAACATATTTGTTTGAGGAGCTGTTTACACAGCAGTGGCTGTTGTACAGTTGTTTATTTTGCAGTCATTGCCTAGCAATGGGTCTACATGCCACAATATTATTAAAAGGCTCATCAAAAGAGCAGAGGTTAAACCATACGACATGTGTGATGCATGCCCAAAGCATGGCGAAAGAACAGACATAGTTTGTATCAAAATACTGACTTTTACTCTGAATTCTTTAAGGGCTATCACACTACACTGAACTATTACAGAAATCTAAATCATACCTTTATGGTCTGTCCATATATTAAAGAACTTGACTATAAAATCTTAACAAAGTTTTACGAATTGTAGGAATTACAGTTATTTCAGTATAAGCTTGCATTTGCTGTGAATTTAAACTACTTTGTTCTTGAATTATTCAAAATGACTTTTAAGTCCTCTTGAAATGAGTGGTTCTTTTCTTAAGCAGAGTAATTTTTTAAATCCTTCATCATACTGAAATAGCCTATCCATCATCAAATGAAAGCACCACACAAGGCACTGAAACTGAGGCCAGAAAAAAAAATGCACATAACTTACTAGTGACAGAGTGCTCCATGAAGTGTTCTGTGCCCACATAATCTCCTTGGGTGACAAGTATGTCATGCAACCTGCTCAACACTGGGTCTTCCAACTGCACTTGTGTACGTCTCTGCAGTGACTCAAATGCCTCTTGATATTTGTGTTGTCGAAAATGTTTCAGACATAATCTGACTACTTCTTGTTCTCGATACTAAAAAAAGATATGTTAAGCTCAGTCTTTAGGACAACAAATGAACAGTGTCACATATCATTAACTCATAGGTCACCAACATCTGTGGCTGAGAGACAAGTAGGAGAAAATTATAATTCATCAGGAGAGCCCATTCTTCATCCAGGAAAAGGTGGCTCACCCTGTCAATATCACATGTTACAGTTCTATATGAACTGAAATAACATAAACATGTCAAACCCAACCCAAACCTACAGTCACACACATCACATACGTGTATGTATGTTGCTACTGATGGAGATACCTCTTTACCATGTTTGGAAAGCCGGAAATTGTGTTCACTTCCTTCGGTCATGTTTGTAACTCAATTAGTGGTTGTGGATGGTGAAGGATGGCAGCATAGGTCGTGGTGAGGGGACAAAGCAAGCATGCTGGCAACCAAATGGATGGTGAGGATGCACTGCAGTTGGACACAGAAAAATAATCACACGTGTGCACATATGCTCTCCCCCACTCCCCCCTCTATTGACAACAGGAGATGTCTGAATCTACCAAAAGAAATGGATACAAACTGAAACAATTAGAAAACAGCACTGCACATTGCATCCTTGTATCAAGATATTTCCAAAAAACATACTTTGGCAGAGAATCTCACAGAAATACCTAGCATGTAATAAATTAATTTTCTCAGAAGATGTTTGTGAAAAGAGTAAACCATCTGAGGGAGAGATATACATTCAACTCAGACAGGCCTTCAGAGATGTAGTTTTTCCTTACATTTTTAACTACATTCACAAGCCTACCACCTTGCATTGGTCAGATACTAGAGGAAAGATGGAAGTACAATGAGACAGTACATATTTATAGACTCCAAGAAAGAAATGAAGTTCATGTTTAAATCTAAAAGAATAAATAATACTATCTAGCTACAAACAAATGAAAGGCCCCTACCAAAAGCAATAAACAGTACAACAAAATATTACAACACAAGTTGTAAAACATATGGGTATATAAAAGTATAAAAAGTATCGGGAAAAGTTCCGGGAAAATAGATTTATTTCAGATATTGCTAAAATGCCTTAAAATTCTTCAAAATACATCCCTTGTGCAGTGATACACTTTTGCCAACGGCGTTGCCACGACACGAAGGCTCCCTGGTAGGCGGATTCCGGAAGGTCCTTAAGGGTCCACATGCAAGCCTCTTTGATGGCATTCAGGGTCCCATGATGATGCCCTTTGAGGGAGGATTTCACTTTCGGGAACAGGAAAAAGTCTGCTGGTGCCAAGTCGGGACCGTAGGGGGGTTGGGGTACCGTCGCGACGCCGTTTCTTGTCAGGTAGTCGGTCACCTTGGAGCAGGTGTGACTGGGTGCATTGTCGTGATGCAATTTCCAATTTCCGGCGATGGCTGGCCTCACCCGATTGACCCTTCTCTTCATTCTTCTTAGCACTTCCAGGTAAAAAGCTCCATTCACTGTTTGCCCCTCAGGTACAAATTCGTAGTGGACCACCCCCTGGGCGTCGAAGAAAATGATGAGCATGGTTTTCATTCTGGATTTGCTCATTCGCGCCTTTTTTGGACGAGGTGATGCCGAACTGTGCCATTCGGAACTTTGACGCTTTGTTTCCGGGTCGTACTCGAATATCCAACTTTCGTCTTCCGTGATGACGTTGTCCAGAAAGCCGGGGTCTTCCTCAACGCGTTGCAGAAGGTCTTCGCAAGCAGCCACTCGTCTCTGCTTTTGGTCGTCCGTCAAGACCTTCGGGACGAGTTTCGCGCAGACCTTTCGCATCGCCAAATCTTCAGTGATAATGGTGTGCACCGTCATCTTATCAATGCCAACACGATCTGCAATCATGCGCACACTTAACCGACGGTCTGAATTGAGTACGTCACGCACATGTTGCATGTTGTCGTTGGTTCTTGACGTCGACAGCCGTCCACCGCGGGGCTCATCCTCCACATTCTGTCGGCCACTTTTGAAGAGCTTTTGCCACTTAAAAACTGCAGTTTGTGACATGCTTTCATCCTTGAACACTTGGCGAATCATGCCCAACGTCTCCATACCCGATTTCCCCAGTCCAACACAAAACTTAATGGTGTACCTCTGTTCAATCGTTCGCTGCATTCTGCGCTTGCACAGACTCACTCAACAGGGGTCCACTGAAAACACGGCCTGGCCTCTACGAACGCGCTCAGGCGAATGGCGCTTGTTGAAGGTTAGAACCCCACTACCATGCCTGCGCGGTGCAAGCGTGCTGTGATGTACAGTCACATAAGGGAAAGATTTTTCCCGATACTTTTTATACGGACCTTGTATGTATGTATGCACCAACAACCCCTACTGTGGTCCCTCAATATATAGGTTGAAATTATCAGAGTAATTCTGAAAATGAAATATTCAGTCAATGAAACAGAGACATACAACCACATTCACTTTGGACAAAGAACACATATACAGTGTTACTTTGTCTGAAGGGAATATTACCTGGACATTTATAATTAATAGAGTCAAACTTCATGTTACTCACAGCACTGAACCAGTCCATACATGGCTTCACTATATCCCAGTTGTCCACACCTATCAGTTCTACAAACCATATGCTAAAATTAAAGCTGGGACCCCATGATTGCAGAGGCATGATCTTAATGTAACGGCAAGGAAATGGATGGTCTACAATGGTGTGACGCAACTGGAACGTCTCTGCTATGCTATCATTCTTCAGACCACTAGAAAACACAGAAGAGTATATTGAAAGATTTATTATATATCATATTCACATGATAAATACATATCAGAAAGGTCTACCTCTAAGTGAACACAAATATCACACTAGAAATATTCTGAATGCCACACTAAGACACAACTTTATACAAATTCCATTTAGTAAATAGTGCAGAAAGATAGGTGTAGTCTGGTCGGTAAATGGGTTTAAAGTCCATTCTAATGGTTACTGTGACTGTAAACATATTAGATGAAAAAGAAAAAAGACAAAGCTATCTATGTAATAGGCTTTGGAGGCCTATAGGGTTGTGAGTCAACAAGGCTCCCATATTTTCTAAAAAACTGGTTTACAGATAGAGGTGAAGTTGTCAGCCTCATGCGCCGGCCACCCTTTGTCCTCAGGAAGATCCATTGTACTCATTTCTGTTAGAGGCTAAGTTTACCCCTCAGCCACAGTGTGGCTGGAAGTATTAGGTCAATTGAAAAATCAAATAGCCTCATTGAGAATTGAACCTGCAACCTTCTGGCTTGTAGCATAGTGCCTCAATCAACTACAATATTGCATGCCCTCTTACTTAGTAGTTGGTCTGACTGTGCTGGTTTAATTTTTAATACAATACGACTTTTGTATTAAGACTGAAAAATAACCTAATCTACTTGTTGGTTCTAGCATTTTCCTTCACACAAGTTGCAGTAGTTTTACCACCAAGACTCAACTGTTTACTTGATCCATTGGTTGAAAGTCATTTTATGTACAACGGTTATTTGTGATTGTCAATGTAGTAAACAAATAAACCACAGACTTGGATCTCGTTAACTTACTAATGGATATGAAGTAAAATTGATTGCAGTGGTTTGCACAACCGTTTACTTGAAAAATAAAGTTAAGATATCTAAACATAGTTTTGGCAACTGCATTTCCTCCACCACAGATCTAATTATCATATTGTCATGACTTGGTCTTTCTTAGAAGGTTATGACATTCTGTTCACATTTAATAGTTACACCATTATTTCATCACCAGGGCCTCATTCTTCAAAATGGAGTGCACCACATTAAAATGAGACTGGCATTAAAGTTGGAATGGTTTTCAGTAATGCACCCTACTTCTTACAATCATAATTTTAAGATGATACTTGATGAAAAGGTGGGTGAGATGACAGCATAAACCTCTGAGAAGCTTATATTATGGACTCATCATGAGTATAAATAATCAATACAATGAATCTATTAGATGTTTCAATCCACATGACTTGGCTAGAAGAGAAAACTGAACACAGAACTTCAAGTTTCTAGGTTTGCTGGCACTACTATGGCTTTACTGTGCTAAATTATTGCCAGTCATTATTCCACATTTACTACCTGAGGAATCATTTATATACTCATAATCATAGTCCCTAAAACTCACATATGAATCTGATTCTCAAAGGGCACTCTAAAATACTGTCATACTGAAGAAAGATGGCATACTGCATTTGTTGCCAGTTTAGAACTGCATACATGAAAACCTTACCTTTCCAATAATTCAATCATATTGCCATCTTGAAGCCCACCAAATACTTTGAACTTCCTAAGATTACATACATGTGTTTTCTCATATTTTCCAAACGTGATGGACTCAACTATGGAATGCTTCTGTAGTTTTAATGTTAGGTACTGAAAATAAAACAAATTATTTATCAGAATTTAGCTCACCACATTAGTTACACGTAATTCAACACTATATACTTGTAAATCATCTTAAATAAATCCACAAGATGTGGCCTTTTGTGGTCTTCCTCAGTTCCTCCCAGGACAATGACAGGATAATGACTTGAAATAGGCCATAACTGCTCCCTTCCACATTCTTTGTAATTCGTATCTTCCTATCATCTGATGCTCTCTAGTCTGAGATGCTGACAGTGTTGTTAAAAAAAACATATATAAAACACTTCACAACTGTTACTTTAGCCATCTGTCATAGCACACCACAATATATTCAATGAATGACTTAAGGTTTCTGGGATAGGAAAGTCAGTATACCAACTGGTTGCAGGCAGGGTAGCTGAGGGGTTGGAGTCCAAGTCCTAGTAGAGGCAAGATTATTCTCCTCTCTATGTCATCCAGACCAGCACTCGGGCCCACCCAGCCTCCTACCCAATGGGTACTGGGGGCTCTTTCCCTGGGGGGAGGGGTGAGAAAGCAGCCATGGCGTGAAGCTGACCACTCACCTCTAACTAATGCAGAAGTCAATAATACATCCACTCCCTTGTATGTCTTCATGGTGAAGTGCTTAATTAGTTAAGCTAGGGGACTTTGCCTTACTGAGTTAAGGTTTGCAAGTACACTTGACAGCTCTGTTTACTTCCAACTGTCTATACAATATATAAAACAAACCATGTCCTGATGGCATTCCTACAAGAGGCTCTATATGATGTACCCCTCCCTTGTGCACAACATTATTCAAACTGGTGCTCTCTAGTACAAAAATTCCATTTTGCAGTGATGTACCAAGCAGGTTATATAAGTAGTAATGCATGTCATTAACATTTGGAAGACAACCAGTTCAAATTTCAATTAGTGATCAGCCACCATAACTGACATTTTCTCCATTTAGGTGAATTACAAAATAATATTTCAAATCACTTCAAACTACATTTTCCTCCACAAACCACCTTCTTATCAGTTACTATACAAAGCTACATAACTTCTATGGCTGATACTATACGGTGATGATGAAGACGATATAGAGAAATATACTGATTTTTCTGTAATCTGCTATGGTTGCACAAGCTGCATATAAAGAAAACTGATACCTAGGATCTATTTCTTACTACAACAATAAGTGTTTTACAATGGAAACATTTATTTATAGACACTGTATTACACCTGGACTATTTAATGCATTTTAAACAGTGCATATGACAGCTAAATTGCAGGGGCAGTATCATACTATTATTTATTTTTTCTTTTATTGTTAGTGGGGTGGGACTAAGTCTCTTGCACTGCAGCCACTTCTGGCCTATTGTACCAGCCCCAGATGATAGGTGAGGGTGATTGTGGAGCAATTGGTGGAATGAAGATTGGCAGGGGAAACCGAAGTACTTGGAGAAAACCTGCCCCAGCACCACAAATCCCTCTTGACCTGACCAGGGATCGAACCCAGGCCGCCATGGTGGGAAGCCAGCGACTAACCACTTGAGCTATGGTGCAGCCCAGTAACATACTAACTATTCATCACTCAGCGAATGACTGTAAGCCACGATCATGGGAAGAGAGACATAAAAAGGACAATAAAAAAGAGTTAAAGAATGGGATAGTTTTGTAACTTCTTCCATGTACTCAAGAAACTTAGATTCTTGGAAACTGACACCACCTGATCTGCAAAATTACATATACAATGACAAACAAATCAGATTGTCTCTGCATGGTACTGCCAGGGCACTGGCAAAAGACTGGGCATTATAATCTCTGCAAAAGGAGCGAACGTCCTTGGGGACAGACAATGCTCTCATGTTCAAGATAACTGAAGAAAATGTGGTTACTTCTGCATGTTGTTCCCTTCCTTCATGTCTGACAATAACTATGCAAATATGGGAAATAAGGAAGTTTCTACCATAGTTTTTAAGCATATGTTAAGGTGCAGTTCTCCTCATCCAGTCACCCTACCTTTAGACTCACTGATATGCACATCTTAGAAAAAGGACAGAGAGAGCAAGAAGGTAGAGTTTATATTTCACATTTGTATTTATTCTATGATGCTGTCAGTATCTCTGACTATATTGTATCAAAAGTGAATTAGTCCACAACTGGAAATGTAAACAATAAACTCCCCAGAACCAAGAACGCATAAAACAAATAGAAAACTTCCTCTGAATCATACTGTCAGAACTGATATGTCAATTGACACAGTCCACCATTCCTTCATTCTGTGAGCATACAGTTAAATTGTATGTCTTCACTCACTTTACCTCCCCACCGATATATTTCGATAAACAGTACTGTTTCTAATTTTAAACCTATAATATTCAAACCTGTGGCGGATTATTTGTATCAGAAGACCATCGAGATGACTGATCATTTGACTTGTCTTCCTGGATGTTCCTGAAAATGTGAAGGCACTTTTAATACATGTTAATCAAACTGCAACTTTCACTCTATTGTATTATAAAGTAAAAATATTTTTAATGATAAGTACATGCAAGTCATATATATTCCTAGGGGAACAGAAATTTGCATAGGTGTGTCCTATGACATGATAAACGAACGTTTCACATTGCCTAAAGGGGTAATATTCCATATATTAATAAACTGCTTGAAAACAGTATAACTGAGGCATTCTACGTATTCACTTACTCAGGTACATATGTGGACGAAAAGCTAGAACATTTATGTATAGTGTATTCTAATTTCTTCACAACATCTTGTTTAAAGGCCGCCATGTTTTGAGAAATGACGGTCGCTGGTAGGCACAGATCAGATGGCACGGATCCATTTGGTGGGTTTGTTGCATACATTGGCAGTGTAAATTCAGAGCCTAGACTCATTGAGCTACATAGTGGAATTGTACTGAAGTATGTGAAATGCAAGGTTCATCGTTACCATATCAGGCGCGTTCATGCGAGAGGTAACCGAAGATAATTGATGAACTCTTGAGTCTCGTAAATAACGAAGTAAGGAAAATGCAGTTATAATTATCAATACTATTCGTATTCCTGGTTTCAGAAAGCTTTCCATTCGACGCTTGATTTACAGTCTGAAACGAAAATTCCGTACCTGAGGCTGGATAAACAGGGCTCGTGGAGCTCAGTATTGGAATTGAAATAAAAGTTACACGTAAACCAAGGTCAACACCGTCAACGCATTAACGAAGGTTTTTGACGAACTCCAAGTCTCGTAAATAACGAAGGAAAATACAATTATAATTATCAACGCCATTGTTATTCCTCGTTCTAGAAACAATTTCAGAATATACTTGATTTATAGATGGAATGACCCCTGTCCACTAAACAAGCAATATCGAAGAATATCTGCCCTGTGCCGAATAACCTCCATTTAAAATTTTTATCACTTAAGTGTTCAAATACAAAGAAACTTTGAATATAAAGGGAGCTTCACTACATTGCATTTAATCTGCCAGTATAAGTATTTGATGAGGACAGTACACAAACATTCCCCCGCCCACTCTAGGCCCGGAACAAAAGTATTTGTTTATATAACACAAATGTGAAGGGTTGTAATCTGTCACTTTAATCTCAATAGTAGCGCCAAAAAACTTTTTTGTTGTAGGTGGTTGTGGTAAGGAAAGCAACACTGAACATTCTACATTTTGACGTACTGAGGTACAGGCACAGGGTTCCTATGTTTAGACAGTTTTTAAAACCCAAGATTTTTCCTATGAGGCATAATGGCAAAAAATTGTGCATGCACACACAAAACCAAAAGCCAGTCACTGGTTACAGCTGATCAGCTGATTAAAAGAAACAAAAATTTTAAATATACAGACACACAAACAAGATTTATGAAGTACATTGTACTGAAAAAGGAAGCAAACAGTTAATTTAAATGCTGACAGAGTGCTACAATCCACACAGAAGGTATGTATATTTAATTATATTGCAGTGATTTATTTATTACATGTCAAAAATGTCCAGATACCGGGGTACATTTAACATAAAATAGCTGGGGCTCATACATGTTAAATACGTCAGACATTTGACACAGTGCAAGAAACATTCTTCTTTTGATGAAATGTTGTTACAAATGACCTAATTCATATCATATCTTTTGGGTTATGACACCATGCAGACTAGTGGTGGGTATCAACATTCTGAAGAAACCATGTTTTCATATCCCATGTGAGTATGATTTACATAAATACTCTCTTCCACTCTGCAGCCTTGAACGCCTAGACCTTGTGTGTATGAGTTACAGCCAGGATCATCATCAAATGAATTGGTAGCAGTGTCAGTGTAGTATGTATCAGGATCTTCTCACATAAGTTAGGTCATGTGGTCTTGACCTTACTATCATCTAGACCGAACTGCTACAACATAGCAACATCAACACAGGCAGCAGCCTGTACACATATCATCATAAGAAAATCTAATATACATCACTCCAAATTAACAACCTGTTGGGTGACACACACATATAGAATAATGAGCATAAGCTCTACAAGACAATAGTAAGGTCAAGACCACATGACCTAACTTATGTGAGAAGATCCGAATACACAGGTGCCCCACACTATAGTCACTTCTACACCAGAAAATCATGTCAACACATAGAGGTCATAAAGTTTTAAAGAGATTTATCGCAAAATACTTCATTTCAATTTTAGTAACTTTTAATTTGTTTTAATCTTTAGTCTCTAATTTTTAAATTTTATTATCTGAGTATTTAAAAATTTTAACTGACAGGCTCAATTTATTCATTTAAAAACATTCAAGGGCACAGTAAGGATCCTTATTGAAGAATGAGATTCAATTTGTTAGATGCAGTTCAACTGAGTCTGGTATCACTGTATGCCTGATGATGACCCAGTATGAGTCGAAACATGTTGTGTCAATAACAACATATGTTGATACGATAGTGTCTACCTTGTTTTAAATACAGAATATTGTTGTGTAGACTGCATACTTTTGTATACATTTTGTGTACCTTGTTTATGACACACAACAGGATGCATGCTATTAAGATGGCTACAGCACATCATATTTCTGAATTTCTGAACTGCCAGTTCATAGTCAACTGACTTCCTCAACCATTAACAGACTTCACTCCAAATGACTGGCACCTCAACCACTAAACATGATTAACCCTCCTGGGGACAACAAACACCTCAGACCTGCTTCAGCTCTACTGAGCATCTTGTACTTCCTCACATTAAGCCCTGTCTGTCTTGCATTAGTCCCTCAAATAATAATTGTCTTCACCTGCTGTATTTCCTTCTACAGTAGATCATTATGCCTTATACTAAACTTCATTGGATACTATTAACTGCCACTATACACCATCAATCATCTGGGGCCTATCTTTGCAACATCACAGAAGTGCCTCTCGAAACAAATACTGGTTGTTGTAGATTTTGAAAAGCCATATTATACCATTTATTCTTATATGCTCCTACACTATTATTATTATTATTATTATTATTATTCGGAGCCAGGAATGTTCTACCCAAACAAATTTTAAATATAGTATAACTGTTAGTATTTTTATTAAATATTTATGTTTCATTCCATATCAGCTATTTGTTTACTTATACTTTTACTTTTATTCATTATTATTTCTTCTCAGTACTTACTTGTAATTTGTATGTGACTTTATTAAGTTTGTCTAGAATGTAATTCATTCTTCTGCACTGTGCTGTGTCTGTAATTGGCCTTGCAGCTGTTGACTCGGCACATTAATAATTAAGAATTGAATTGAATTATTTTTATTAATTTCGTTATTATTATTATTATT